AGCCCAGGAAGGGCCCCTGATCCCCAGTCAAGCCCAGGAAGGGCCCCTGATCCCCAGGTAAGCCCAGGAAGGGCTCCGAATCTCCAGTTCAGCCCAGGAAGGGCCCCGGATCCCCAGAGCAACCCCCAGGATTCCGTAATTTCCCCAAGAAGATTTTGGGGGGGGCCATACACCCGTGGCCGAGCCAGCCAATGCCACGGAGGATCTACCACGGCCTCCCGAGTCCCCTGCCCCGCCGTGGCCTCCCGAGGTCCCTGATCCGCCGTGGCCTCCCAGGTCCCCTGCTGCGCCGTGGCCTCCCGAGGTCCCTGATCCGCCGTGGCCTCCTGAGGTTCCTGATCCACCGTGGCCTCCCGAGGCCCCGGATCCGCCGTGGCCTCCTGAGGTTCCTGATCCACCGTGGGGCCCCGAGATCCCTGATCCACCATGGCCCCCCGAGTATCCGGCTCCGCCATGGCCTCCCAAGTATCCTGCTCCGCCGCGGCCTCCCGAGGTCCCTGCTCCGCTATGGCCTCACGTGTCCTCTGCTCCGCCATGGTTCCCGGATCCACCCTGGAGGCTCTCCGGGGCTCTGCCCGATTCCAGTCCTGCATCAGCCTCCAGGGCGCCCACCCCCCCTCCCCGATGATACGGTTATGGTGCGGGTCGCGCATCCTCAGGCAAGCCCAGGAAGGGCCCCTGATCCCCAGGTAAGCCCAGGAAGGGCCCCTGATCCCCAGTCAAGCCCAGGAAGGGCCCCTGATTCCCAGGTAAGCCCATGAAGGGCTCCGCATCCCCAGTTCAGCCCAGGAAGGGCTCCGGATCCCCAGTTCAGCCCAGGAAGGGCTCCGGATCCCCAGAGCAACCCCCAGGATTCTGGAATTTCCCCAAGAAGATTTTGGGGGGGGCCATACACCCGTGGCCGAGCCAGCCAATGCCACGGAGGATCTACCACGGCCTCCCGAGTCCCCTGCTCGGCCGTGGCCTCCCGAGGTCCCTGATCCGCCGTGGCCTCCCAGGTCCCCTGCTCCGCCGTGGCCTCCCAGGTCCCCTGCTCCGCCGTGGCCTCCCAGGTCCCCTGCTCCGCCGTGGCCTCCCAGGTCCCCTGCTCCGCCGTGGCCTCCCAGGTCCCCTGATCCGCCATGGCCTCCCGAGGGCCCTGAACCGCCATGGCCTCCCGAGGCCCCGGATCCGCCGTGGCCTCCCAAGGCCCCTGATCCACCGTGGGCCCCCCGAGGTCCCTGATCCACCATGGCCCCCCGAGTATTCGGCTCTGCCATGGCCTCCCAAGTATCCTGCTCCGCCGTGGCCTCCCGAGGTCCCTGCTCCGCCACGGCCTCCCGAGGTCCCTGATCCGCCACGGCCTCCCGAGGTCCCTGATCCGCCGTGGCCTCCCAGGTTCCCTGCTCCGCTATGGCCTCACGTGTCCTCTGCTCCGCCATGGTTCCCAGTTCTCCATGGCTCCGCCCAATTCCCGTCCTGCACCCCCCCTCCCCGATAATACGGTTATGGCGCGGGTCGCGCCTTCCGGGAGGGGGGCGATCTGTCACACCCCTGTGGACTGTCTTGTATGGTTTCTCCCTCTATGTCCTTATTTGGTTGTTCCTGTTCTCATTATTAGTTAATCACCTCATTGTGCTCGAGTTTGTCAGTTATTGTGAATGTTACCCTCTCGTGTATTCATTAAAGTGTTCTGGTTTCCTTCATCCTCATCATCCTGCCTGTTCCCTCGCACACCTAAACGTGACAATACATACTAATAATAATAACAACTGAAGTTAAATAAATGATCCTGTTCAAAGCACCATTTAGCAGTGGCTCTTAATATCATTCAGGATTGATTGTGTAAGTTCAGTAATTGTATTATTATATTTGAACTCTATTTAATTCAAATATAACACACTAATTCAAAAGTTTGAGGTTGGTAAGAATTTTTTTTTTTATGTTTCTGAATGAAGTATCATCTGCTCACCAAGGCTGCACTTATTTGTTAAAAAATACAATAAGGCACTAATATTGTGAAATATTACTACTATTTTGTCATGTAAAATAGCTGTTTTCTATGTTAAAATTTAATTTATTGTGATCAAAGCTGAATTTTCAGCATCATTACTGCAGTCTTCAGTGCCACATGATCCTTCAGAAACGTCTCGGGTTACTCATGAAACCATGGTTCCTCGAGAGGGAACGAGACGCTGTGTCCTGGTGGACACTTTGGGGAATGCTGTCTGCGTGACCGGTACCTGAAGCATGGGTAAAACAACTCCAATCCTATTGGTCCACATGGCCCGTGACATCATAGGCGGGTACCCGAAAGTATAAAAGGGGCACCTGCTGAATACGTGACCAACTAAGTTGTCTGAGGAGACGTAAACTGCCAGGTCGAAGGCATGGCAAAGGGACGCAGCGTCTCGTTCCCTCTCGGGGAACCATGGTTACATGAGTAACC